TGAAATCTTGGAATGGGGGGGTCAGGAAATTCTAGGATGGGGGGGTCTCAGGGCCATGAAATTCTGGGATGGGGTCTCAGGGGTATGAAATCCTGGGATGGGGGTCTCAGGGGTATGAAATCCCGGGATGGGGTCTCAGGGGTATGAAACCCCGGGATGGGGTCTTGGGGGGGTCTCAGGGCCCATGAAATCCCGGGATGGGCTCTCAGGGGTAAGAAATCCCAGGACAGGGTCTCAGGGGGTTACCTGGGGGCATGAATTCGCGCAGCCTCTCGGGCACCAGGATGCCCTCGGGGGTCTGGTGGTTCTCCAGGATGGCGCAGATGGTGCGGGTGGTGGCACACATGGTGGCGTTCAGCATGTGCACGAACTCCACCTGGGGGAGGGGGGGTTGGGGTGAGATTTTGGGGTCCCCTTGGGTGGGGTCTGTGTGTTCAGGGAAGGGAAACGGGGGAACCCAAGCCCTGAGAGTCAGAAATATCCCAATTATTAAGGTGCTTCTGGGCACTTTATGGATTTTAGGATGGAGCTTTGAACTGAAAACTTTGGCCCCACGTTCCAAAATGTGGCTCATTTTTGGGTTCAGGTGAGAGTTTTTAGCCAGCCAGGAGACATCGACTCTGAAGGGACTGTTGTGGGTGTTCCTCCAAAGAGGGGGAAAAATTATTATATTTTGTTATGTATTTGCATAGTGTAGTTAAATTCTATATTTTTAATACATTTTTATACATTTTATATACATTTTTATATATTACATATTTATATATTTTATATATTTTATATATAATATATTTTATACAAGAAATATATGTTGTACATATTTTATATATAAAATATATTTTATATAAATTTTATATATTGTATATGTATTTACTTCAATATTAACCTATTATTCTGTTTTATAGATTATATTTCATATATTTTACACATTAATATATTCTTATAGACATATATTGTTCATATATTGGTCTATATATTATTATAGTCTATATAATATTATATTTTTATATTACATTTTAGATATGTTATATATTATATATGATACATTTTAATATATTTATTTATGTATATATTTTCATGTATTATTATATATTTCATAATTATATATTATATAAATTTATATATTTATAGATTAAATGTATTCATATATTATACATTTTATATATTCACATATATTATCAATATATTGTATATATTTTATATATATATTTTTACACCATATTTTATATATTTATATATTATATATTTACATATAATATATTAATTTACTTTTATTTATAAATTAATTACTGCTAGCATATTTGTATATATTTTTATATTATATTTTATACCTTGTATTTGATATATTTTATATATTTATTATAAATTTTATATATTTTATATACTTATATACTACTCATATATAAGAATATATTTTATATATTCCTACATTTTATATATTTTCTATGTTATCTATTGTACACACATTTGATAACACCCCCCAGCCCAGCTCAGACTGGGACTCTGAGACAGAAACGAAGGAGTCTGGGGGCAAAACTGGGGAAAACTTGAAGAAGTTTGGGGAAAACCCAGAGAAACTTTTGGGGGAAATTTGAAAACATTTGTGGGAGTTTGGGGAAAACTTTAGAAAATTAGGGAAACTGGGTGAAATCAGAAGACAGAGGAAGTTTGGGAGAAAAATGAGGAAATTTGGGGGAATTCCGGGTTGGATTTCGATTGGAATGTTGTGGAGGGGCCGGATTTTGATCCAAGTGTTGGGGATTGACTGGATCTTGACTGGAGTGTTGTGGAGGGGCTGGATTTTGACTGGAGCATTCTGGATTGATTGGATCTTGATTTAAATGTTCTGGATTAACTGGATTTTGATTTAAGTGTTGTGGATGGGTTGGATCCTGGCTGGAGTGCTGTAGATCAATTGGATCCCCTCTCCAATACCATGGATCAGCTGGATCCAATACCATGGAGCAGCGGGATCCCCCTCCAGTGCCATGGATCAGCCGGATCCCCCCCTGCTGCCCCTTCCCCCATGGATCAGCCAGATCCCCCCCTGCCGCCCCTCCCCAGGCCGTGGATCAGCCGGATCCCTCCCCAGGCCGTGGATCAGCCGGATCCCTCCCCAGGCCGTGGATCAGCCGGATCCCTCCCCAGGCCATGGATCAGCCGGATCCCTCCCCAGGCCATGGATCAGCCGGATCCCCTCCAGCCCCATTCCCGCTCACCTTGTCCATCATTTTGCGGGTCTGGCCGTAGCGGATCCGCAGCCGCCGGGCCTGGTAGTCGGTGCAGTTGGAGCAGGACACGAGCTCCCGGAAGGCTCCGGAGCCGGGGAACCAGGCCTCGAGATCCAGCTTCTTGCTGGCTGCGTGGTTCAGGGAGCCTGGGACGGCACGGACACCGCTCAGCTGGGATGGGAGACGGGGGGAGGGAGCCAGGGGATGGGGGATGCCATGGGATGGGGGATCCATAGGGTGAGGGATTTCAGTGGGGTGATTCCATGGGATGAGGGATTCATGGGATGAAGGATCCATGGGATGAAGGATTCCCTGGGATGAGGGATTTAATGGGGTGAGGCATCCATAGGGACGAGGGATTTCATGGGATGAAGGATCCATGGGGATGAGGGATTTCAATGGGATAAGGGATTTCAATGGGGTGATGGATCCATGGGGATGAGAGATTCCATGGGGTGAAGGATCCATGATGCCATGAGGGGATGCCATGAGGTGGGGGATCCATGGGGTGAGAGATTCCATGGGATTGGAGAGTCCATGGGATGAGGGATTTCAATGGGGTGAGGGATTCCATGGGATTAGGGATTCCATGGGATTAGGGATTCCATGGGGTGAGGGATCCATAGGGATGAAGGATCCATGGGATGGGGGATTCCATGGGATTAGGGATTCCATGGTGTGATTCCATGGGGTGAGGGATCCATAGGGATGAAGGATCCATGGGGATGAGGGGTCCCATGGGATGAGGGATCCATGGGGTGAGGAATGCCGGGACACAGGGAATGGCGGGATGGGGACAGGAATTCCAGGACACAGGGAACGTACCTGAGACGATGTTGACGATGTGGTAGGGGATTCCCAGGGACTGGTAGAATTCCTCGGCCGTGGAAATCATCTCCTCAAACAGCTCCCAGGACTTGTTGTCGTGGGGGGAGGAGTAAACGAACTGCTCGATCTGCGGGAGAGGGGAACGCTGGGGACACCCGGAATTCCCAGTGGGAATGGCTGGTGACACCGGGGACACCTCAAATTCCCACTGAAATCCTGCAGTGACATGGGGTACACCCCAAATTCCCAGCAGGAACCCCCCCAAATTCCCACTGGAGCCCCCCCATAACTCCAACCCCCCAAATTCTCCTGGGAATCCCGTGGTGACCCCATCACAACCCCTGATCCCCCTGGGAATTCTATGTGACCCCAAACCCCCTGAATCCTCTGGGAATCCTGTGGTGACCCCAAACACCCCCTAAACCCCCCAGGATTCCTGTGGTGACCCCAAACACCCCCTGAGAATCCCATGGTGATGCCAAACACCCCTCAGTCCCTCTGGTAATCCCCTGGTGACCCGAACCCCCTGAATCCCTCTGGGAAACCTGTGGTGACCCCAAACACCCCTCAGGAGTCCCCTGGTGACCCCAAACACCCCCTGAGAATCCCATGGTGATGCCAAACACCCCCTGAGTCCCCTGGTGATTCCATCACCCCCCGATCCCTCTGGGAATCCCTTGGTGACTTCCATCACCCCTCAGGAATCCCCTGGTAACCCCAAACACCCCTCAGGAATGCCATGGTGACCCCAAACACCCCTTGATCTCTCTGGGAATCCCCTAGTGACTCCAAACACCCCTCAGGAATCCCGTGGTGACCCCAAACACCCTCAGGAACCCCCTGGCGATCCCATCACCCCTCAGGAATCCCGTGGTGATGCCAAACACCCCCTGAACCCCCTGGTGATTCCATCACCCCCCCGATCCCTCTGGAAATCCCGTGGTGACCCCAAACACCCCCTGAATCCCCCTGGTAATCCCCTAGTGATCCCGTCACCCCTCAGGAATGCCGTGGTGACCCCAAACACCCCCCGAATCCCCTGGTGATCCCAAACACCCCCTAAACCCCCCAGGAACCACCCCACGGTGCCCCCGGGCCCCCCATCCCGCCGTCACCTTCTCGAACTGGTGGACGCGGAAGATGCCGCGCGTGTCGCGGCCGTGGGACCCGACCTCCTGCCGGAAGCAGGTGCTGATGCCGGCGTAGCGCAGGGGC